AACGGCCTTCGAAAGGTGAAGCGGAAGATTTCAGAACTAGTCACGCCTGATGGGTGCACATGATCAGCAATGGAAGAAGTCGACCTCCTACGGCTTTATTACTCCCAAACTTTTCAGCAGGTAACGAGCCCAAACATTCGCCTCATTTCTGTTACTCCACCATCGGGTTTAGACAACATCACCTTCACTACGGAAGCTGTGCTGAAGTAGCTGTTATCCTTGCGTATCCACAGTCCGGCTGGAGTTGACAACATCCGACAAAGACTCTGCAGGCGGTAGCTAGTGATCTAGCAGAACCACTAGCTGGTTGCTATCAGAGATTTCTAGAGGAGAACTATCTGCCACCAGTATGGAAGCGAGGGGCTCATCACTCCTATCCATAAAGGAGGTATCCGCACTGACCCTGCCAACCACCGTCCAATATCACTATTTCCTGTACTATCCAAATTGATGAAATCAATCATCGCAGATGCGTTGATGCAGTAGCTGGAAAGCCAACACTTAATAGCCCCAGAGCTACATGGCTTTAGTCAAAAGCATTCGTGTAATACTAACCTATTAATTGCACGTAATAGCTGGACTGAAGCTGTTAATGATGGATTAGGAGTCCAAGTCATGTAGCTGGACTTCTCAAAAGCGTTTGATCGCTTAGACCATCAAATGCTCCTTCCGATGCTTCGGGGCTACAGCATTAGCGACTCAGTCCTGAGTTGGATTAGTAATTTTCTTCACGAACGACGGCTAGAGGTGAGAGTCCGGGAATCCTTTTCCGATGCAATCGATGTGGTATGTGGTGTACCACAAGACTCGGTGCTTGGACCTGGTCTACTCTTGGCGTTCATTAACGAGTTGGCGAGAACAAATGCTTCAGATTTCCAATTTTTCGCTGTCGATGTCAAGATATGGCGAAGGATCAGCGGACCGAGCGACCACGAACGGCTCCAGTGCGATCTTAACACGGTGTCGAACTGGTCATTTCCAAATGCCATACCGTTCAACGTAGACAAATGTCGCATTGTACAATTACTCCATAGACATAACTATACCTATTTACTTGGGACAAACGGATTGCAGAATAGCTCCCAGGAGCGTGACCTTGGTGTGATCGTACAGAGCGACCTCAACTGTTCGAAATAGGCTGAGGTAGCTGCGAAAGATGGTAACCAGTACGCCGGCATGCTGCGATGAGCATTCAAGATATTTGACCCATCAATCTTCCCAAAGATGCACAATTCCTGCATGCGCCCGCATGTTGAATACGCTATGCAAGCTTGGCAACCTTGGTTGAAGCGCGACCTAGAAGCGTTAGAGGCACCATAGCGAAGAGCAACAAAGAGTTAAAGGGCCTGCGCTATCATTCTATCCACAGAAGGCTGAAGTTGCTGTGAATTTTCAGCGGACCCTATCGAAGGATGCGCGGCGATCTCATATTAACGTATCAGATATCAGTTATGCCGCCATTTGCTGAAACTTAGCCACAACATGCAGCTCAGGGGTAACTGCTTAAAATTGAAGGAACAATATAGCCGTCTAGAGTGTCGACGGAATTACATTTCTCTTCGGGTTTGCCAACCCTGGAACCCACTCCCAGACTCAGTTGTATCCTCCCCTACCTTGGACCTTTTCAAAAAACGATTAGATGTTGCTCTTAACTCCCAGCATTTTATTACGTAAACTCCTCTGTTGTGGATTACGCTGAGCACGCTTTTCTACTAGGTTTATGTTTCAAATGGACCCAAGTGAGCGACCATATTTTACTTTTCTCAAGCTTTATATCAACGATCACTGCACCCGAGTGTATTTTTGAACGTGTACGCTCGATATTTTAATTTTACACTGATGTAATTTATCAAAGCATTCATCTCGGCAGGCTTTTGGTAGATGACCCAGATATATTTTAATTTTACCATATTCACGCCAACCATCCTACGCGACGTGTCATGCAGTTGCTTTTATCCCGTGATAAATCATGGTTGATTGCTCATATTGGTCTTCCTTGTTTTACACACAAAGATCCGCTACCAAATGTCTTTCGCACTGGAAGATTGACTCATTAACATATTTCTCGGGATTTATCACCTAATTTTTGACATGTCATTTAAGCGTATAAGAATCTGAAGGTGTATAACAAGCAATTTTTTATTATCCTTTAAAAAACTGCATTCAGTTATAGACCGACTGAGCTTCTGTGCATTGTTCTACTGGCACATAGCAGGCAATGTAATTAACTATTTTGAGTTGCACCCATTGCGGGTAAGATGCCCATGGGCGTCCAGCAAATTTTCATTACAATTGATTGAATCTACTTTATCTGATAATGAATCTCTTCCCTTGGAGAATGTCCGATTCTTCAATGCCAATGAATTAATAGCAGAGATGCTGTTTATCAGAAGAATTAACACTCATACGAAGGGCACGTATATATTCGGGGTAGTCACTGACTATCTGACTCAAATCTCCATCCCAAATGCAGTACATAATTGCTCGTGCAACAGATGGTGATGTCACAATGGTCGGAGTATATAAAGGGCTCATTACTCATCCAAGCAATATTCTTCCTTCTGTGCATACATATCAGTGTATGAGTCATCGAGAGCACCTAGTGGCTAAGAACTTGGTATGATGCTTAAACGATTCATTGTCTACTGCTATACTAGTGGCCAAAGATATCAAATAGCACCCTCTTCATTATCATTCTCACCAGCAGTTGTGTGAGGAGAACAGTGAACATTTCCATGCTGTACTGTCACAAATAAAATAATAATGATAATAATAATAATAATAATAATAATGCGTCAGCTGTGCGCCGTAACGGCGCTTCGCTGCCGTGCAACCACCACCAGTCGCGCGCGGGCTGAGTATGCCGCGAGGACGCCCACCCCTACGCGGATTCGAACCGGTGATATTATGGTTGCAAAGCCAACGTGCAGTCCACTCGGCCACCGGCCGACAAGGCAACTATCTTCGCCGTTTGGTTGCACTCTGGAAAACCCTCATCATAATCCTTTCTGAAAATGATTATGGACGGAAACTGTTAACAGTTAAACCAGATACGTTTTATCTGGCTGATCTTTTGCAAACGCCAACTTATTCAATAAAACTCTTCAATTTAAGTTGAGTATTCTCATCTAAGGCAAAGAAGGTGGAAGTGTATGCACAAGACATTGGACCTCAGGAATTTTTACAGGAGTTACGGGAGCTGAAGGACAAAGAAGTGATTATTGATACCAGTCATTTACAACAACTCCGAAAACAAATAGGAGATACGTTTCATGATCTGATTGGCATGGAAATCTCGATTTGGGTTTTATATCCATTCGATGAACAACCCTGCAATGTTGGAGTTGAAATTCAGGAAAATGTCATAAATATTCAAATTGACACACTAGCATGATCCAATTCCACGCAATATAAAACGGATTTTTGAACAAACACTGAAGCCCCTAACAGATATCACAGTATGCGGAAGATAGCTGAGATATGTTTCCCTGCTTTTCTACCCACTCATGTGGTTAAATGTGGATACAGCGGAGTGGTTCCTCTAATCACAACTGGAAACAGATTGAACATCACAACAAGCGATATTCGACTCTAGCTGTCAAGTGTGAAGCCCGACATAAATAATCTTGCTCAAGGAGATTATGTTCAACATTTGCATTTATATTTCGGCAAATATATGGTTAACTGTTTACTGTAACTTAGTGCATTTCATGCTTTACAGTTAAAATACAATGATACTTTAATACAATGCTAATACCATTGATAACTTTTGCGTAATTGCCCATAAGTGGTTTGATGTTATCGCACAATGAATGCTATCTTGAAACTGTAAAACTTCAGAATTGAGGTTTGAAAGCAAAATAGCATTGAGACCAATTTTAAAAGTTTGTTACCATTATACGGGATATTAACATGATCACTAGAAACCACAGATTTTCGTTTGCTAGGCCTTGTGGATTGTTGAAATTGTGATGATCTTGGCTTGAGAAGCGTGAGAAACCGGACGGTTTAAAACGGAGCCACGGTTTAGTAAATTCTAATAGTGCCTAGCATAGATAACACATGTTGTTTCTACTCAAATACTCAAGTTGGGCTCCAGCTGCGTGGCGGAAGCGTCCCACGTGTATGCATAGGTCGTCCAATTTGATAAATTAGCCAATTGATTTCATACTGATTAATGAATTGAACTTAGAGCGGCTACTGATTTCCAGTAATATCTATACCTAATATCTCATAACCCACCTTCCCATGGGTGCTCCATAGTTGCTGAATGTATTCTCGTGCAACGAAGATGCGGCCAATCAAAAATAAGAAAAACGGAGGGAAGGAAGTACTTGGGATAGCAACATGGAGACAGGCCAAATTAGCCGTCAAAAAACCGCCGGATTTACCACCGAGAGTAAGTGAATGTTTCGCATGAGTTTGCTCTCTTTGTCCTGTACTTTCGGTCACCAAGCTGATTTATGAATTTCAAACCAGTTCACCCAAAATCTTGTCACATACCCTTCGTTCTAACTACTTATTTCCTCTGTTAATTGCCGTCATTGATATTGTATCCGTGGTATGGCAAGATTGTTCACTACATTATACCTTTTGTATCAGAGTTGATCCACCTGTCTGAATTGCTGCTATCAACCGAACCACAGTAGAGACAACTGTAGTTGTAGCAAAATGCCGAATAAAAATGAGATAATCATTTGTGTTTCCTCGCATTCTGCCGCTGCCTCACTTGCGATTCGCCTACATGTATGAAATTCTTCTCCCAATAATGGCAACTATTATTCTTCTAAATTGCAATCATGTCCAAACGAACTACAATACACTTTCAGAGAAGATTTCTAGCAGACATTCGGGCGATTTTTAAATCCGCCTACTGATCCGATATCCGATTCTCGGTTTCTTTCTCTTGTGTTTTGACTAACGCTCAGTTCACGTAACCTTGTTAACGTTTCACTTATCGCTCCCGTGAGGTTAGAAACAGCTTTTCTCAGATATAAAAATGATGGTCTTGAAAGTGCGAAGACACAGAAAGATAAGCTACTTGATGGGGGTGTAATTTTCTGGAAGGATTCAATCGTGTTTACCTGTTGTATGGGTCTAACGTCGGAACAGATACACGTTCTGCACTCACACACAGGTTATTACGTTTTCTTCATCAATCCCTCCGGTCAAACAATTCTGACGCCTTCGACGTGCGTTTATCTGGGACACACAACTGTGGTTGGTGACCAGGGAAAGCGGTTATGGATGTTCCGGCATGCGCTGAAAGTGAGAGTACTGAAGATGTTAAATGAAATATAAACTACTTAATATTTTTAGTAGTCCATTGTTTATTGTAAATGTTTTCCCGGTTAATGGTGATGGGGGGTCAATGTGAAGCAGAGAAGCATCGTGGATAACAAGTCGTTTCACTGAATTATGACACCAGGGATTGCCCGTTCCTGTAACTATGCAGCTTGGTGAATGCAATAAAAACTGAATACGCGACAACACGATCTCCTTCCTTTTGTGTGCCACACCAATGGGGTGAGGTGCAATCCAGATGACACGTGATCGTTTCGCGTCTTCTACATCGCTTTGCAAAAGAATCACACTGGTTAACTGGCTGAGTTAAAACCAATTGCTATAAAGCTATAAAGAGAGTTTGAAGCAAACTGCTTCCTGGGTTTCTTCACTGCAACCTCTCAGCTTTCCGTGGTCTTATCTCCACAGCTGCCTGAAGAGTTGTTTGTTATATCGCAGAAAGTTTACCAGGTGAACATATGTAACGGGAAAACTGCCGTTGAAATCTAGTAAACCTCTGAACTCAGACACACGCTGTTGTCATTGTTGCGTGACTACACTAACAAACTCTATCAAGGAACTATTCATTACACCTTACACCAAGTCCTAATCGACCTATATAGATGCAACTGTGCCACAGTGCTGCGCGTCTGTTTGATTGTCGTGAACAGTGTTAGGGATGATGTATGTATGCGTCTTATACTTTGTCGGCTTCACCCACATCTCTAAATAATCTGTACTAAAGCATGTCGCTGCACCAGTTTTGGATGGCACTAGGTGAGTATCTGTTATTTCATCATCACATTCATGAGTTGTTATACCGAATGTGGTGTCACTGAACTCGAAGTTACGGATGCGGTACTAGGATTTTACTTAACAATGGAAATCCGTCAATAAGTAATAACTTCTACCCAATACTGTTTACATACTTGGAACTACTGCATCTGAGTTCGCTCCTGTTCGGTCTCCAGAACCAAATCGAACCATGTATTCGGACTGAAAACGATAATCGACCTAGTAGAAAAAAACAGTAGGATGCATTAGTATTACACATGCATTGAGATGATAATTCCTGCTGGACTATAAAATGTTGGAGGGAAATGCAGAGTGCGGCTTTACACATCGAGCCGTTTCTCACACACTTTCAATTCTGACCTCGCTTAATCTATGAGCAACGCGTAATGTAAAAATTCTGCTGTATTTCAGTGTGACTAGAAGCTGGTACTAACCAGCTAAATGGATTAGGACGTTTGCTTAATATCTGTACCGCACAGGGTAATGGATAATTTCAATGAAAATTGTCGTTGCACATCAATAAAGCTAGCCAAAGCAAACCGAGATCCTCTTTAGTCTAATACTTAGGGGAACATGTTTACAAGTAACGCGCAGTTTGTAATGAATACTTACGGTTGGAGTAGAAATTAAAATTAAAAGAATCAAGGCATAAGGGAATTGTCATTTTAATTTTTTACTGCTTTGACTGCCCTGCCGTGTAACGATAAGCTGAAATGGGAAATGTATGTGCACACAAAAACAATATGGGGAGCAGTTATTGTTGACGTACTCCGTGAGAAAAAATGTAAAAGGTTGTAATTGACAACATCCATTCCTTTGTCTCTCCATTGGGCCGTTATGATAGGTAAATTCAGTTTCTGGATATCCAAGCATCACGATGCACTCATTAGCAGAATACGTTTCGCTGCTGATTTCTTTGAACCTGCTGACAGAGAAATGGTCTAACTCTCGAACGCAATTGTGTTTGCGTTAGGATTCCCCATCCGGCAGGACAAGGCGACATATCAGCATAAATTATTGTAGTGATTATGCACCAATCGAAAAATTTTATATAAGTACGTCGAGGACCTTCGTAAGGTGCTACGCGAAGTCCCATCACTGGTTACGAATGACGGGTACAAGTGATCGGTAAAGAAAACGACTTCATTAATCTCATACGTTCCAGATGGTGATAAAACCAAAAGTTCGCCTCGGATTTATTACCCTACAGTCAGGTTTATCCGAAATCAACTTCACTACAGGAGCTGTGCCAGGTGCTGTGTTGCGCACCAGTCGTTCCTCTGGAGTTGATAACATTTGGCCCAAGGCACAACACGTAGCAGCCAGGGATCCAACAGAAGTAGTGAACATTATCTGTCAGCGCTGTTTAGAGGAGAACAAAATTCCGCCACCATGGATACCATGGGTCATCACTCCTATCCGCAAGGGAGTTAGTCGCACTGATCCTGCCAAGTTTTGTCAGATAACACTGATTCCGATGCTTTCTAAGCCTATGGGGTCAATTACTGCAGGCACACGCAACATCTGAAAAATTATGTCAGCATCACAGGAAAAACGTGGTTGCCTTCAAAATTGTTTACTTACTATTAGCCTGATAAAATATCCCGCTGGAAGACATGAGAAAGAATGTTAGCGAACAAGCGCGTTTTCAGTGTTTTCTTAACGGGCTAATACACCACAAATGAATGACATGAACCTCACTATCAGATAAGGGTACAGGTTCAAAACGCAGATTGTCTAACTGACCAAGCTAGGTGATTGGCCCCACGGCAATCAGGAGTGTGTGTGTGTGTGTGTGTGTGTGTGTTTGTGACGTTGTCCACACTGTGTCCGTGTTAAAGGGGACCAGGGTAGAGTTAATGCCTGGACAAATTTCTTGTGCGCACATAGGTCAGGGTAATAAAGCCTGATGGCTGTTGCCTCGACCGCTGCCAGTAGACGATATCTAACCGCTTTTGTGTGGTATCTGGGTCCAAGGTAGATGGATTGGAACGTCTCATGCGCTCTGAACTGATGGCTCGAGTCGATCAGTTGTTTAGACACTGCGCTTGCCACTAATCTAGTCACGCCGTTATACAGCCAAGCAGGACAGTGTTGCCTGACTCTCTCAGACATCTGGTAGTTCTACTGATATATCTTGATCGACACAAACGACACGATAAAGTTTCAAGGTCAAGTGTTTCTTTCTGTGTATACTCACTGTCTTTCTCATGTCGATAAAGAGATTTCCGGAGAACTAACAGGGGATGTCTCTTACCAGCAAAAATTGAACTTATTGGAACTTTACAGCAAACGTTACACGGTGATCTCATATTGGAGTAACAGAAATTAAGTGACAGCAATCACGTATGCCGCTGTTTGCTGAAACCGTCAGGCAGTCACCTGAAATTGAGTGCACAGTACTGACTCGAGTACCCGAGAAATTATTTTTCTACCAGGTTTTCCAACCTTGGAACTCTCTCCCCAACTCCATCGAAGCTTCCGCTACTTTGATTATCTTAAACAAGGATTGGATGTTACCATTAGCACCTAGTACTTCGTCACCTAGGCTCTGCAACTGTGCAAGGTCTTTGTGATGAACGCATGCTGGATTTATTTATTACATGGGCCTGAATGAAGGTTCTTATTTTGATTTTTATCGGAGAAGACGTCAGCTATAACCGATTTTCGTATCATTTTGTGTGCTTACATTTAATTCCCATTCCTCACTGTCAGTATGCAGTTGCGCGCATACTTCCGTAGCCGCCGAAAACGATCTTCCTTTTATTTTTTTATTTGGTAGTTTTCTCCCCAATCATCATACGGAAGTTGGCAAGCAACTGCAATTTTTAGTGATAAATTATTCCATGACTGCTCATACAGGCTATTTCGAGTATAGTAGGTTGCTCCACTGCGGCAAACAGCTGCCGATCACATGGAAGCCCTGCCGGTCATTAGTTTTGCCCAGTTTGTACCAGATGTTCGTTGTAACATTTACGCAGCATTTTACATCCGAGTTATACCTGAATTGGTTGGACCCCTGGAAAATGTAACCAAGTGGCTAGGTTGCAGTTGGTGTGAAAGTCTCATGAATGTATTGAGGCTACTCCGACATATAATGTACACAAATCATCCTTGGTCTGACTAACCAGGAAGATCACTGCGACCACAATACATCAACCTTCCAAACCCTTCCAATAACTACCAGTTTTTCCCCTTTTTGTTATTGTTAACTATGTGTTTGGCACTGCCAAGTGTATATTGGTCAAGTGTTGAATAATATAATATAATGTACACAAATATTTTCGTTACTCAGTCTTCGGCCTAAGACCCATGTTTGAGTAGTATACAGATACCTCTGGTTTGTCTGCAGTCAACACAATTATGCTTTGTGTTAGTGAATGTTTCAATACTCGCCTTGACAAGAGTTACGTACGACCCCCAGCCACAGGTTTTTAGGTGCCAACTCCACAAAATGTATGTGCTCTCCAGTTTGCGAGAAGTGCGCTTATATCAATAAAACCTACCACATCTATGTGTTTTGACTAGACACAATGGAAATTTTTCCGTGGAAGGGAGTAACTGATGAACCGTGACTTACTGATGATGGCAGCGGTTTGGGTTGTAAGGCTATTCGCCAGTCTGCTCGTTCCTCCAACCAATTCCCAGTCAAACAACCGGGGCTGTATGCTGGTTTTGGACACGGTATTCCACGTTCATCGGCAGAGCTCATTATTTCATGCGTGTGATAAGCCTTGAAAAATTTTCGTTGATTAATACTAGACTGCTGACCAAACACAACTTACTGGTCTTTGCAATCAGCACTAATCACGTGTGCCCCTAGTCATCGGGCAGTCATAACGTGAAAAGACTACTCAGGTGACAAACTCAGTGACAGTGCTGAGCTTACCCCTATAGGAAGTCAGCAAAATAGACTTACCCACATTTTGGCAAAAGTGAAAGCCGTTTACAAGCTGAAGGAGTTATTGGGGATTGACTATGTAGACGAATCAGATCCCAGTCGTTGCTTGCGGTTCCTGTTAGCAGGATTTAATGTTTGCCAAGTTCTCCACGACAATGGTTCACCAATAGGTAATTCATGCGCCTGCTAGCCGCTGGTTAACCTATAAACCCAAATAAGAAAGCCATGATACATATAGCAATTTGTAGAAGGAGATATACTGCTATTTTTGCGACATTTTGTCTCAGCTAGGCCCAGCCAGACAGCCACCATACATTGAAGAAAGCGCTGTCTAGAAAAGAAGATAATCAAAAACAACTAATCCTCCCCACCACTCTCTGAAGATCAACTGGTTTAATTAATGCAATGGTTGTGGTTTCTAATGAGCAACTAACTTACTTTGTGCACCCTAAAAACCCGCTTTTTGGAGGCCAGGAGACAACGGGCATCATGATATTCGACTAACATTATGTACTGTGTATTCATGAGTAGGGGAGGTTGATAGAGATAATTGAGGGTCGTCACAGCCAGCTTCCAAATCAGACAGCCGTCCACATGCCCAGAATAGCACTAGACTGCAGTTTCAGCCCGTTGGGCATTATCAGTATTGCCCATCCATCGGATCCATCAAGATTCGAACCCATAACCACCAGCGGCTTGCACCGCCAGTCAGCAGCTTATGACACTGGACCACGGGGGACAGCTTCGGACGGTCATGATTTACAGGCTAACTTTGATACAGCGCGTTTTATCCTCCACTGCCTTGTAGGTTACGAAGTTTGCAGAGGACAGGGTTTGCCTTGAAAGACACGACGTCCACTTACAGTAGCTATGTATGACATAGCATTTAGAAACTGTTAGGGTGGATATATTTTGATTTATTCTTGTATTTAGGTGTAATCGATGGCACTGGTTGCAATTTGTACAGACTTCGGTGCCAGTGTTTATATATAACAAGAGTACGCTGTTCATGGAAAAAGGGTGAACCCTTGGACGCGTGTGTATAAATGGCAAGTACATTACTGGGAAACCGGATTGCCGGATGCAAGGGTACAATCAATTGTCTCCTGGGGCTAAGCGATCGAACACAAATGAATATGTGTGAGTTGCCGTAGTATAACTGCGATAAATCTACGAAAATCACATATAACTAGTGCTGTCTATTTGAGGCGTCATTGTGAAGTACTCGTTTTGTAAATGAACTGCGACATTCTGAATGTGGACCGTGATTCTGTGGAGCAATGGAACAATGGTGTACTAAGGGTATTAAAGCTAAGGCATAAGAAGTGCCCTAGGATGTGCGTATGTGAAAGAAAAAAATATAATAAGGATTTAACAAGCGTCTACTATCTCACCACAATATCCATGTTAACTGAAATGTAAATCGGTAAAAAATCCGATTTCACGGGGACTGGTGAGTACAGCGTTGGATGGCTTTTTGTCGTCTTCTGATGAACAGAAGTCATCACGTACTGCACCTGTTCTTATGTATCCGATGTGGATAACTTGGACAGAAAGTGAAAAGGTCAGCAGAATGGTTCGTGGCTAAAATATTCGAAGGGAAACAGTTTTCGGTAACTTTTCAACCGGCTGTGTTGGGGGAATATTTTCAGCTGGTGGCATCTCACTTTTGCTTCGGGGTTGTTTCAGGAGATGGTAGCTAACATGACAATGCCTTATTAAAATCCACGGCACCACACAATGAGGTTACTGCGTAGATGGCGATAACTACCGCTGTACATTGTCATGAATTTCAGTTGTAGTTGCTATAGTGGGTGAAACAATACCTTTACACTTTTGCTTGACATTTATTAGGCAGTCTGCAATAAGGCTAGATCAGATTTTAGCCAAAATTGCAGGGCCTGAACCGCTCCTGTGAAGCAACCTTGTATGTCTGTTCTTCCAGCCTAAATATGTTATTTGTTTTGTGTCTGCAGGCACTATTTTACTCTTATGTACTCAGACGCATCCTTGATCATTTAAAAGAATGGCTCGGGTCTCATTTCTGAGGGTCATGATATTCCTGGTTACGGATCGCCCGCTATATATTGATGTTATCAAAAAAGCACGCAGTCCGACTCAATGACACAAATAAGAGCGAAATCTTTCCCAAGCCTAACGTCATGTGGGACTTTAACTCTCTTTGAACTACAATACCATCCCGTTAGTTAGTAATCTGCTTCTACTGTCCCATCTGTACGAATGGCTGTAGCAACGGTTGTTACATTCTTGAACACAATACTTGCTTCGATAGGAAGGAACATAGCAGAGTGCAAGACCCAAGCATCGCCAATGAGCTCCACTGCAAGCCAAATCCACAACGACGGGCATTCCGCTAACAAAGTGATACCTACAATGAAGGTAGGCAACCACCTCGCCACTACTCTAGACTGTTCAGCCATTCCCAACCTTTATAACCTGTATAACCCATTCCAACAATTGCTTCCAAAGCCAGTTCTTCGCCAAAATTTAGGAAACAAGCTAGTATCAGTGGCAGCTCGGCCGCAGTAACGGCTAAAACAATCCAAAATTAGCAACCGCAATTTCTGCTGCCACACCCAAGATTAATATGCAAGGAAATGTCGCACCCGTACGTATTGGATCGCACTGTGTCCCACTCATGATCGGTACACTTCTGAAAGACACATAGAAACAACCAGATGCTTTATTCACACTATACATCAATGTCTCAGGAAGAATGTTACGTTCCTTGAAAGGATAGCACATGGATGACCTGAGCCATTGAATCATCATAACTAATCGGCTCAGTGTTGTGGCTAAGATCACCAACCTAACCAGCATCAACCAGCACCCGATTTCCAAAAGCTATGTTTAAGTCGGTCATTTTCGCGCTGTTTTAACACCATCACTGAGGTGAAAGTCGTTTCACCCTCGACAGCTTGTCTCCGGACCGGATCTTGTTTTGTCCGTGTCTTTCCAGACTTTCTGTGGAGCCAGCGCAAGCAAACGGAACGGTGCTTGGAAGAGTTTCGCTAAGCACGGTAGCTAGAACTGTGCTTATTCACCACGTCACCCAGTCTCCTGAGCACGGTAAATGCGAATTAGAGGGTCATGATCGGAAGCAATGGTGCTATCTTCGTCAAGCCTCTCCCTTGGACGATGTTTTAGATATTTCTGTCACATGGCTGCCAAGATCGGCAAGCTAAATGGGTCTAGCTCATGGATAGTGATTTTAGTAGTTAAAACTAGGCAGATGGCACTTAAACTACTCGAACTCTGGCAGTCAATTTGGAACAAAACGCTGAGCTCCGGCTCAAAACAGCAAAGGACACTGTGCTACGATTCATATCAACATCTCAGCAGGCAAATGAATAGGGGGCCCCATTGTAGGCGCACAATGACAGGTTTTAAAAAGTTATAATTTTTATGTGAAATCATGTAGCCATACCTCATGTACTATGTGCATAATGAGTTGCCAGAGTAGCAAAGTGTAATGTCATCGAACCCCTCGCCGCGTCACTCATCGATAACGCCACCAACAAAAAGCTAGCAGCCAACCGTACAATGGTCGGCACCATTGCTTATCTGAACCACATGTCTTTCGATTCGCTGCCCAAGATCTTAATAAAATTGCTGAGTCTCGGTTGCGTCAGGCCACACATTGTCGGGGCCTTGTTTCCATAACCCAGACTAAGTTGCGCTCAGAATTTACGGGTGCCGAGATAGCGGTTCAGGGAATGTCAACCTTACGAAAGGATTGTCACAGCATGGGAAGTGGGGTAATGCTGTACTGTTGCAATGGATTACAGTGTGAGGAATTGGATGATTCAGGAACGCATGTCTTCGATTCGCTGTGGTGCCGTTTGCGTCTCACATACACTGATGCCTGCTTCGTGTCACTTGTTTATCACTCTGCACTATCCACTTTATACATGGATTCCCGCCTAAAGTCAGCATTTACAAAAAGCTTACTCACAACATACAACCACATTGTATGCTCAGGCGATTTTAACGCAAACCGCCTGGACGCCTCGGTATCCCCAGCGACTAAGTCAAGGCCGAATTGCAATAAAGTATGGCATATATTTCACGGTACAATCGCATCACTTTACCTACCAGGTACGGAGCTGCTAACAGCTATCAGTACTGGACCTCGTACTTGCAAATGAGGACCTCATTATCAACCGCCCATAGACAGAGGTCTCAATAGGAGTAAGCGATTAGGTTACCACAGTTCACAATTGTGTGTGTTACGCTACAACACAAGGACGAAGAAAAGGAACAAACGAGAACTATGGCACGCATCATTCTCCTGACAGATATGTTTGGGATGAACGCCTGGGATTTCTTGAAATGTAAAACGGTGGATCCCCTTCAGCCATTTCGTCAGAGCAGTGAGAAGACATAAGTTGCGATATGTTAACATTTCGATTGTTCTCATTAGGCGCAAACATAATACATGCGGGATTCACGGACAGTTATATACATTATACATGACATTATCCGTCGCACAAGAACGAAAACAGTCCGCAATCTGCCGGATTCCCTTGCAAAAGCCCCAAATGCTGCCTTCTATAATGAGTGCTTAAAGCATGTATAAAATCTGTCATCTGTACAGTTCACGCGCACACAATTGGAAGTTCTCTCACTTGGACTGAAGCGCCGATTGCCGTCAAAAGCTATAGATAAGCTTAACACGCAGGCTCCTTTTGAGTATCTGAATGAAGAGCTCAGTAACCAGGCGCCAAGATCAATGGAAGAAGCGGGTTGGTTCCGGGCAAATTTGGTAGATATTGCAAACCAATATATGAACACGCCGATAAGCCAGAGATGCTGTCTGAA